TTCAATTCAGATTTCTTTTTTTTGTTCCTATAACTATTCATTTTCTTCTATTCACCTTCTTCAAGTTCTAATATGTATTCTTAACATTCCATCTAACGTGACGTTCGTCCGTATATATTATCCTTTTCTTCTGTGGGCGAAATTTTGGTTTCCTCCATGATTCTTGAATTTGTCTCGTTTCTTTCTCCGTCTCGTCTAAATAATAGTCTCTGAATGTTGATAAAGATGACAACGAACATGAAGTGGAAGAGAGACAGGTGCTCGTTCTTTTTTCATTTGCCGGATATCTTCTTTTCCACCTGTGAATGTTTGTACACGAAGAAGAAGAAATTGGTTCTTGTTGTTCACGATAAATAAAGTTTTGCGGCAATGTCGTCCAAGAGTGACATCGTCTGGACGATGATAAACTCGATGACGAAGACAATAGACAAGTAGAATCTATTTCTGTGCTGTTCTTATTATTTTTATATTGATCATTTGAAGGCATCGTATAACCCGATGATTTATAGGTTGAATGTTGATACGTATTTAAATTGTCACGAATGGGTCTTCCACCTGTGGCAGTAGAGGTAATTGATGAACTATATAACGAATTCGTCGAATTCCTTGATCTGTTGGACCTTCTGTTTTTGAAGATGAAGTCCAAAGTCGGTTTCTCGGCTTTTGGCTTGGATTTCAACGACTCGACGTCACGAGACAATAAAAATTTACGATTAACTACCGAATCAAGTTTCTTCTTCGCTTTCAAACATTCACATTGATAATTACTCTTTTGTGACTGTAAATTCCTAGATATATTATGTCGTGGTTGAGTTGAAGGATAGGGTTTTTTATTGCTCTTCCATTGGGAATCACAATTACGTCTTCTGGAAAGTAAAAATGTATTTTATAATGTTAAGATAAAATTTTATTATATTACGATAAACTGATAAAAGTAACGTAACTAACTTTGTATCGTAATAGCAATTCTGACAAGGGAGTTCTGGCAGCTTTCTTTGATACATTGTATTTTTATATGAAGAAACAGGATAAATGTTTTTGTGTATGTCTGAGTTATCGATGTTACGATATGGAAATTTCTTTTGTAATTTTGTAGCCGATTTATTTATAGAATGTTTCAAATTATGCTTTTGTTTCAAAGAATACATTCGTATGTTATCCAGAAAGTTATTCTCGAGTCTATCAACGTTTGACTCTTGATACGAATTAATTTTCCCTGTAGCCCCCACTTCTGATTTAGGACTTAATTCAATAGTTTTTTCCATCTCCAAGTAATCTTTTGACGATTTTGTTTTAATAGTAGAAGCATATTTTTTCCGTATATCGTGATAAAAAATTGAATTCACATGGTCACCTGCGTTAATAGTTTTACCAAAATCGCTTATACTAGTTTTGCACAAACTATTCTTCTTTTCCAAAGCGTTAGAAGTACTTTCGTTCATATACTTCGGTAAAATTCTTGTGTCTGTATCACAGATGTTTATGAAATTATTGAACTTTTTAGTATTCTCATTCTCTTCATATTTAGTTTCAACAATTCGTAAAGACAATGGAGAGATATCGTAATTATTACAGGGATTATTAGCACAGACACATGGAGATTTATGTTCTGACTCTAATTTCACATATTCTTCATTGGTATTTCGTTTCAAAGGGATTTTTTCCGCCATATGTTTATCATTCTTCTTCAAAATTTCTCCTTTATGTTCATGCATCTCTTCTATAATCTGTTCTTTCGTGTCTGCATTTTCTTGGCGTATTTTTACATTGTCGATGTCATTTTCATCACGTATCGATTTATCACACATTTTCCAATGATCAGAGATCGCTTCTTGAGGAACACGTAGATGAAGACAATGTTGCCTGTTCCTTCTTCTTTTCATTAACTTTCGTGGGCATACGAGACCACTGCAATGGCGAAAAAGACAGTGTCTACCCAATCGTTTCTTTCGTACGCTGGTAGCCGATTCTGCAAGCTAATTCACGAAGGAAATTCTTTAATACGATTACATTTCACTCAAATAATAACGCTTCAGATTACCTTAGTTTTCTGGTTGAGCATTGTCAATTTACAGCACGTGCAATTTACAGATGTTACGTCTGCAATCGAACCGACCACGAGATTACTGAATTGTTGAACCGCGAAAATCATTCACGATGGTAAGACTTACAGCGATTTGCTGGGGAAGTCGAAATTACCATTGTCATTTTTAGGGAAACTCCTTCCCAACGCAAGTGCAGTCTCCGACACGATCGATGGATCGTTCTCGTGGAACCATTCTCGAATCTTCTTCGTATACCCTAAACGCCGAATGTAATTTTCTCTTTTAGTATTATACAAAGGAAAATCGAATATCTTGCAATAAAAAAAACGTTCTTACATGTCCAAACGTTCTCTACAGCCGCAATCATAGACTTTGGTCCGAACTCTATTTAAAGGAACAACAAAAATTCATATTTAATTTTTAAATACTTCAACTTTTTCATGAATGCTATTGCTAGTCTTTATGCTTACCCTTTCTTGCATCCACATCTGCCTGGTTGTCTAACGGACAGGTATTAGTACTAAGTATTAGAACTTATGATTATGCCATGCACGTGATATTGCTGGTCATACGATGCGTGATATTCTTTTAGATATTATAATTAGTCTTATAAATATAGTAATATTATAGTATATAGTATATAGTATATAGTATATAGTATATAGTATATAGTATATAGTATAGTATATAAGACTAATTATAATATAAGTAATATTATAATTAGTCTTATAAATATTAAATAGGGTAAAAAAAATTTGTATCATTGACAAAGGGAGCAATAGGAAAAGATCTCGCACGTATGACCAACGTGACTCACTTCTCCCCTCTGCGCCGTAAGAATTCTCTCATTCTTGCTTTGCACAGGCAAGCCTGTTCCCTATAACACAAGTATTTTTACGTTCACTGTGTTTGCTTTTCCGATTCGCTCTCGTAGTTGAAAGTTACCTCTCTTTCAGGAAAACCACATAAAAGAAGAGCATTCCCGTAAAGCCAGCGATAAACTTGCTTAAGTACCAAACAAAATTGTCAGTACAGTGGGGCATCGCAATTGAGTTGGATCTACTGCGTTAGGACCACTGTCAGAAAAACATAGTATTAATAATAAAGTACAACTGTTCCATTGCTGTATGATACATCTTGTAAAAATTATATATTTGAATTATATATTTTAAAATCATTTCTGTCGGAATATTTTTAAACGTTTAACTGGGAAAAAGCACAAGATGAGTTAACTCGTGATAAAATTTTAAGGATTTTCCAATACTTTTCGACTGTGCGTCAACTATATATTTGTAACTTAACTTTATATCTCACCTCACATGAATGAAATCATACGTATAATCGAAGGATTATATATTTCTCTCTCGTGAACGTTTGCATTACAAATATTGCGAGGCCATTGCTACGTAAATTTCACTGTGTATTTTGAACTTTTTTTTAGAAGGAAGGTTAGCCACTTATTCGCCGCGATGTTTCCTTCGTTTGATTTATCGTTTTAATTTTGAATTATATAACATGTTTGCAACTTCGAGGCCCACACGCTCCGTGCCACTTTCGGCGTGCGCGCATTTGACAGACACGCGCAAGAATTTCAATCGGGTGAGGAGCTTTTGCAACTGTCAAATCGATGGATTGATGAATTTTCGTATACCAGGATTTCGAGTAACCGTGTTGCGCGTGCAGCCCCCAGAACGCGAACAAATGCAAAGTGTGTCGATTTGCAAATGTCAAAATTGCCGGACGTTGCCTACTTTAGATACTCGATTTTAATCTTGTCATTTTCTCTTCTCCTTTATCTATCTATCTATATATATATATA